GTCCGCTGTATAATCCCCTTCAAGGAGTTTAGACTATAGCTCATGTACTCTGCTACGAGAGCTTGAAGAAGCTGAAATGAATTCCAGGTTCAGGCTTGATGAGCTTCTTCCAGGCTGCGCATTGCTGTTTCTCGGTACACGCATGTTGTGGGTGAAGCAAGCGCAAACCATTCTACAATTACAGCTACAGTGATGCAAGTAGCGGTGTTGGACAAAGAGCCAAGGCTGTGCAGCATCAAGCGCAAGAACTTGTTCAACCCAAGCAGTTGGATGCCGCGTCATTAGCCAATCACCAGACAGCTTATTTGCTCTAAGCACAATAACATGCTGCGTGATGGCCTCCACTGGAGCTCGGGAGGAAAGCGAGTGCGCGCATTGTGCGTTTACAGCGCGAGCGGTGTCAGTAGAACTTGAAAGCAAAGTGTCACACCTCTGGTCTCCCAAACAGACACCCCAAATATGTGCTATCACCAAATACCGTTACTCCTAAGATGTACAAGGTCACTAAAATCCACAGCCTCAAGTGTCACCGTTGCTGAGTCCTGCGCCGCGCCCTGGACAGCGCTTCCGATGCGCGACAATGCTCCTGGGTTATGATTACTCCCTGGAGGTTACGTAGTGAATAAGGGGATATAGTCTCTACATAAATTTCCGAAATTTATATAGGGACTATATTCCCTTATTCGCTACTCGCCCCCCATTCAGATTAGGCTGATAGGTTTGGGGTTTCATGCGGTTTTAGTGCTGGAGGAAAAGGTTTTCGGGCTAAGGCCAAAGCACTTAATTAGCCACTAGATTGCCGTAATACGCTGCAGACTTCCATACACCGCATACACCATGCTTGTAAATGGCTTTGCGAGTTGGAATAAAGAGCATGCCCGTAAACAGGAGTCTCTCCAAATCATGCCCTTGTGATCCTTAAGCAGGATACCAGTAGAACATCTTTATCCCTAAGCCCTCAACCTTAAATTACCCTAATCCTCGAACCCTAAACCCTAAACCTTGAAACCTAAACCTTGGACCCTACATCGTCCACTGCCGGCCCAGGCTCTCTCTTAAGCAAGCCAGGCCACAGTACTGGCTTCCACAGTCCTGTTCTGGATTAAAACCTTTTGGTGAGTGGACTGAGTAAGTACGTTAACAACCCCTAGAACCCATATAGTAACCCTACTTATCCCCATTATTAACCTACTTACTAAGTCCACAACCTCCAAGTAGGGTCTAGAGATCGTTTTGGGCAGTTCAGGGCGGCAAGATTTTGGGATATGTCCGCAATCCTTGTGGCAGTTTCTAGTATTGACTGACTGTACACTGTCGGAAGTAAGAGATGTTGTAACAAGATTTTCCTGTAAGATTTTCCTGTTTTGCAAAGGGGTACGCAGTGGTGAGTAGCGCGCAAATTCCAAGAAGCCCGCTTGGAATGCTGATAAAGATACGGGATGAAGGGTTGAGCTCCCAAGTTCTGAAAGCTCGAGTGCCTTAAACCAGCCACCAAAACACGACCATGTTTTGCAGGCGTGTCAAGTGGAGGGAACACCCACTCTTATAAAGGGCCTCTTAATGGGACCACATCAGGAACCCAAGCACATAATTGAATTGGTAGGCATGTAGCAGGAATATACATACGCAGGTCCTCATGCTCCTATTATGTCCCTGCTATATTCTGGGGGTAGCAGTGCTGCGTGATAAAATTTAGACAAGCAAGCAGCACCATGATTCCAAGCAGGTTTCAGCTGCAGCCTCTGGCACCAATAATTGAATCTAAGGTTGAAACCATGGGCCCCCAGTATGGGCCCTCAACCCGTAAGGGTCCAAGGGCCCATATTAGGGGCCCACACTTGAACCGGAGAATGAAGCAGTCACCTTTGACAACTTCTAGCCTCCCCATGCTCAAGACTAAACGAAAACCTGACAAAACCAAAACCTCCGTCTCTATGCACTCCGCTTTCTGATCGCAGCCTAAGATGCACATAAAGGCCAAACTGTCATGCCCCGACTGGCATTGAACTCTCCAATTCTTCTGTTCCTATATATCCCTATAGAGACCCTACATACCCCTATAATCAGCCAACCCCTATATGATTCCTATGTAACCCTAAACCCTGGACCCCAAATAGTAGCTTCCATGGCATTTCCAATTTTGTCCAATTGATTCTCCATGATCCCTGACCCTTAAAATGTCCCTATAAATATATGGATCCCCAAACGCACATCCCTAAACCAAAGACCCTAATCCCTAATCCTAATCGCTAATTTAATCCCGAATCCCTAAACCCTGATCCCGAAAGCGTAATCCCTAAACCCCAACCCCTAAATCCATAAACCCTAAACCCTAATCCCTAAAGCCTAATTCCCAAGCCCTAATCCCTAAGCCCTATATATATATATATCTGTCTATTTATTTGTGTATTTATCAATATTCCTGAAGCCCTACCATTATCCTTGACCGTACATTCACGCATGCACAAATACAAATACAAATGCAAATATGCATATATATATATATATATGTGTGTGTGTATGTATGTGTGTATGTATGTGTGTATGTATGTATGTATGTATGTATGTATGTAAGTAAGTAAGTATGTATGTATGTATGTATGTATGTATGTATGTATGTCTTTGCGTATACAGATTGCAGAGAGATGAGGGGGATCAGAGGGTGTGAAATGTATGTGCTGCTTTTGGGACTAATACAACAGAATTCTGGTGGTTTGGGACCGGTACCCTGGAACTTCAGACACATTTATTCATGTGCTGAAGTGATAGCATCTCTTGCGCAGTTGTACCGACACTCTTTCATCGTTCTTGTTACGCAAGTCATGTTAGGTCCTTTGGAGGTTACACCTCCACTATGGCACCTACAGGCTCTATGCGATGGGCTTACGATGTGAGGGATTCTAAGCGTGACTGTAGACTATAGATCTACCAGCCTGAAGCCCAAAAGTCCCCGGTGTTGGGTGGCCGCTAAAGTGCAAAGATAGCTTGAGTTGTATGAGAACCGTACGTTTGAAAGATGATGCCTTCATTTAGCGGTTTTCAGGTCTGCGGGTCAAGCCCTTATGTCATGCCTGCAAAAGCCTAGGTTTGGGCTTTGATAATGCAACAGCTTGATGGACTTGATTATTGTCATCGCAGTAGTACACCCAGAAGATACTTTAGAACTGTCCATACATAAGCCCGACTCAGCAGGGCCACGTACAGCGCGAGACAGCAGCGAGACCGGTTTTCCTGCGCTGGCAGATGAAGAGCGTCGCCAGCGCGTTCACTGCCCTGACTGCCTGTGCGGCAAATGTCCTACTCGCATCATCTTGATTGTTTTGCTTATGCCGCTGGCGGCTTGTTTTGTGGGTTTTGCTCTTACTTCTCTTAGCGGCAGGAGTACAGCGAAGTACTGTCTACAGGCATTTGCTAGCGGCTGCTATCGCCCAGACTGGGTCCAGATCCATTTTGTGTGATATTGAACGCATTTGTTGTGTGGAAACAGTGAAGCAAGCTGTGAAGCTTTTACAAGCATTGCTTGTTCTTGATCTTCAACTGCCCGAACTCAAACCCCACAGTCTCGTATGTCACGGAAAATGCCAGTAAAAGTACGCGGAAGGTGGGCCGATTCGTGAAAACGCATAGCAGTTCATGCTAAGTTCTAAGCTTCCCAAGAAACAAAATCTTGCCTCTGTGTTCTCATTGTCACAGCTGCGCTCGCTGGTGGTGGCTGTTCCTTCATGAGGGCGGCTGTGTAGTGCGACTTTGCGCAAGTCAAAGCGAACCTAGTGGAGGTATTTGTGAGTACATGGCACAAAGAATCCCTCCAACATACAAGGAGCTGAATTGAAAACTGAGCAGTGCCCACGTTTCCTATAAGAAGGGTGGCCCAGTCTTGGGCGGGGGCAGCGAAGTGATCCAAGGAAGGACAAGCTCAGATGTTGCGTTTGAAGGTTTTTGAGTTGATAATTCAGGGCTCAGAGTTAAACAGACTCTTTTGGAAGTCCTGGGTGTATGTAGATGGAAGTCCTTTGGAATATGAAGTCTTTCATCCTGAGAATGTTAAAGCCTAAAATCCTGTTGCCCCAGCCCAAGCTGCTCCAAAATGAAAACCTGTTCATTGGATCTAGGGTTGAGGGTCAGCAGCAGTGAAGAAACGGCTGGACTTGCTTAAAATCAAGCTAGAAACATCTGCCTAGCTAGTCAGAGTTTCGATCCTGTGAACACAAGGGAAGGCATATGCTATGCCAATTGCTTCTCCAGGAGGGACGTAGAGTCCAGCCGTGACTTGGTGCCTTGGAATGCCGCCCGGGCCTCAAGCACAAGGCAGAAGCAAGTCACTGCCTTCCAAAGGGACACCATATTGGCCATCTCGAAGCAAAGGGCTGAAGGATACATGGGTTTACGGGCATCTAAATAGTCCGAGGTTTAGTTGAGGTTCGTGCCATGGCCTGCAAAAATGGATCTTATGTTTTCAGGGTCCATAAGGGTACCCCTAATGGCTGGAAACACTCGCATCATCAAGGTTTGCAAGCAAGTTTGCATACTTCCCCGGTTCGCTTTCAATTTCTGATCCGGAATTTGAGCACGTAGCGACTTGGGTCCAAGAGCTTATTCCAGGCAGGCAACCTGGGTAGGGAATTGCTGCGCGGTTGCTGATTGGGAGGTTCTTGGTGCTTCGCTTGCCAAGCCATATGGCTGGATTTTTCCAGAGAAGCAAAAAAGCCTACATCGTGCAGACTCTTTCACATGTGGGGCTGTGGGCCGTACATGTTATCAAGGAGAACATTTACCTTTTGGCCCAAAAGCATTGCTTCGAACGACCGTAAGAGAGGCTTCGAACTCCATGGATTTGAACCACTCGGGCGCATGTGACCATCTTGGAAACTAAATCTGAAACATTTTAGATTCAACATGCACGCAGCCTATTGGACTTTTTCAGGCTCCCACAGTATGCCGAATCTAGGACATTTGAAGCCTTAAGCTCTGAAGCCTAAATTGTGTGATGCCTGCTGAGGATGGTGCCTACGGCCAAGATTTTGGTGGTCTCGAGGACACAGAGCCAGGGTATGCAAGGAGTTCACTGACTGATTCATAGCAAATGCGAGAGCATGTGTTCTGGGCAAGTAGCCATCAGCCGAGACAATGCCATGATGCCATGAGCCTTCTGCTCTTGGGATTTTAATCCGCCTAGACCCCCAACCCTTGAACTCTAGACACTGAAGCTCATCCACTTTAAGGGCCGCATCCATCAGGTGAACCCCGAAGCCAATTGGCTGATGATTCCATATCATTCCCGACTTCCCAGAGATGCTGTGAAGGTTCCTTTTTAATTGGGTGCAAAAAATCATGTCATTTACAAGGTCTTCCTGAAATAGCAGCAGGCATTGTGCATGTGACTTGAGAACTTGTCCCTGAACTTGGGATATCCCTGAGCTACTGTAATCAGTATATATTTGCAAAATCCTATGCTTACTTTACGCTCCAACCGCACCGGCGGCCCGGCTCAGCGCAGGACGGACATCACGACGGCAAATTTGACCAATTTGCCGTGAACGAGCAGAAGCTTCTTGATTGATCCGCATTTCATCCTTTCTCATGCGTTCATAGAGACTGGATGGGCTTTATACAAAGATTCTTCTGATTTGTGGGTCTATGGGCTGGTCATTCATGGCAGTTCATGGAGATTCCAGTTGTCTTAGTTTTCGCAGGTATTTGTCAGAATTTTTGGTGTTGATAGGAGTTGACAGGCATTGTATCAAGAGGAATATCCATCCCAAACGAAACAAACATTAAACCGCTTGAGGCTTTGCTCAAAACAGACACTGGTGTTCGGAGGTTGTTTTTGTGGGTTGCATGTTTGCTTGGGGCCGTACTCCCATTCTAGTAATAGCCAGTTGAAGAGATGTTTGCTGAGGTTACATGCTTTGGCGTTGAGGGTTCTAGGACATCGAGCATGTCGTGGGGCTTGTTTTTGGCTGCATGATTGCGTGCTTTCTGAAACCTGCTTGCCGCGCTTGTGAGAACGACCGTAATCGCAACCATCCAGAACAGAATAGGGTGGCGATTTGACAGCTTTTCTCTGGTACAGACCCGGTAAGTAGGTGAGCCCTGCCACTTGCAGCACTCCCCCAAAAACGATTACTCAAGCAGACAAAACATAACACCCCAACAGATTCAACATTGTTTTAGATCGACACAATCTCCATAGTGACCATCATAGGCCACACTTGGGTGTTGCAATGTACCTGTCCAGCTGGTGCCTGAACTCCGAATCGCAAGCCTCAAATCCACATGCAAGAAATATTTCATGCACATTGTTGATGATCCTTGGGATAGTTGCAGGGTTCTCTATCATCTGCTGACGCAGGAAATCTTGCATGATTCCAGGGTCACTCAAACACAGTAGGTCCCAACATATAAGGCAAGATTTTCCATCAGTTGTGGAATCCATCCCTTCACTCTATGGCCCAGGTATGGTGTAGGAACAACCTTCAACGAGGACTGGGCCACAATGTTTTGTAGGCTATAGGGCTGAGGTGTTGTGAAACTTTGGCCGGTTTGTTTGTTGAGGGGCTGATACACGAGCACTTGCTCGAGGACGTTCGGAAAATTGAATCCTGCAGTTTGTTGCAAGAAAGTGATTTTTGCAGTTTTCTGGATTTTCGGTTTCTCCAAATCTCCGCGCTTCTCGCATCGGTAAACCAGAAGCCTTCTCCTGCTCGAAAGAATTTCAGGTGAGGCTACCATTTACATATGCGCGTGGTAACCCCCTGGCAACCTAATACTAAATCTTTGCAAGTATACTGGGCGGAAGGCAGTTTTTTCATCATCCTGGTGACTTAGAAGCAGCCTGGGTGTACGTACTCGTTCTACTCAGGCCAAGGACTAAGGTACCCAGAGCCTTCGATCCGGAACCAGCAAGTCTAACCTGTTGATATGGGTACTTCCGACAACTGGAATCCCTTGATTTAACCTATGATGGCAAAATCCTTCTTGTAGGGACCCCGAAAGGGGATCATCTAGCAGAAGGAAGAACTTCAGTAATCAGGGATGTTGATTGAGGACCACTTCCAGGCTCATAGTAGCATGAAGAATATTGGCACAACTATGGCTATGGTCTCTCTGGACAGAAAGGTGGTACAAGTTTGTCCCAACAATGTAAGCCAGTGTGTGCATGTCGAGTCGGGCAATCGCCGGGATTCTTGCTGCAATGTTGTCCGATGAGGGTTTCCCTTGATTGCAGGAATACTACACCACGCCATTGGACAAGAATGCAATCCCTGCCGAGAAAAGAGAAGAGGCCTCCCGCAGATTCTGCTTGCTTCTCTTGCGGGCTTCTTAGGCAATCCCCTGACGGTAGACCTTGCATCCTGAGACTGTCTCGTATGGCCTACAAACAAGGCGGTTGCGTCCATGTTCCCCTTCCAGTCTTTCGGCACAGGGCCTCAATCTGCTTGGGCAGCTTCAACAATTAAGCCTTCAACGGCAAAAGGCGTACATCGGCCATACTTGAATATCAACTAGGAACAGCAACCAGGAATTCACGGACCTGAAGGACTTGCAATGGAGTCCGACTGCTGAGCTTCGTTTCTCCTTGTCGAAACCGCTAGGAAAATTTTGAAGAGCCAGGGAGGAATGATGTCTCTACAGCTTGTGCGGCAGGACCGTTCTGTCACTTTGTCCACCTTGACGCATGCCATTACAGCTCCTTGAGACCTTGCATGTTTTCAAGTTCGACGTGTAGGGATGTGTTGGCTTAGATGACGAACGTGTATGTCCAAGCCGTTGTCGTTACCTTCACGCAGAAGGCGTTGCTGTGAGAATACTTGAGCGTGTACACTGAACAGCATTCTGACATCCGTCTTCACCTCTTCACCGCTCCCATTCTTAAACCTAGGGCCCTGTCAGGACCCTCGGGATGCCTAGCGAGGATCGTCTAGGATAATCTTGAGAACTGGTCAGTGGGCCAGAAAGACGGACCCAGAGAGGGTCCTTCAAAACAATACTTTCTTCGAAGTCTTGATAGACCTTGAATCCGAACCGCCCCCCCCCAAACCTAAGTACCTTCATAGAATCAGGATCAAAACCCTGCCCTATGTTAGCTGGCAGAGGCGGACCAGATCGCCCGACAGATTGAAGCAGGGAATATGCACTCGGAGGCGTGTCGACGGTGGAACGTTGGGCTGAGGATTTGGGGTCTAGGGTTGACAGGGTGGGTGTTCGGGTTTCTTGGATTAGGCTTTCAGGATCATTGGCTAAGGCTTTGGCAGCAGGGGTTTCAGGATTATGTAGATTCTGTGCAGGTTGCTTGTTGTAGGCAGTGGTCGGGAGGGATGGGATAGACAGCCACAGAATGGCTCTTGAGTTGCTTCTAGCTTGTACGGGTACAAGCACCATGCCCGTGCAGCCCTAAGCACGTTAATCAAGGAAGATCCCCAGATACTTTGAAGCTTCAATGGGCTTTCGTATTGCTACAGTGGGGAGCTCCAGGCCTTCGGGCCTCTCTGGTTGCACGGGTTTCAGGCACGGAGTCGAGCATGGGTGGATGCGAACAGACTTTTGCTTTTCATTCACCATGCCCTATATCGTCTTGGTCCTTTAAATCTGAATCTTGATTTTCCACAGTTTGAAGCTAAGAAGCCCTCAATCCTGGGCTTGTCTATGGGTTTGACCATTTTCACTTCGGTGTTAGGGTAGTCGTCAGCATTCTGGCAGGTTTCTTGGGAAATTCTGCTGACTGCTATTCTTACCCTGAGGCTTGGCAACCTCCAAGTTTTTGAGCTTCAGCCTCCAGACCTCACGCTGGTGAACCCGAAACCTTAGGCTCTGCGTGCTAGAACTGGCTTAAGACGAATTTGCAAACATGAAGGCCTTTGTTTGAGGTGTGTTGTCAATGGGAATTATTACAATTTAGATGTACCTGTTCCGGCCCTGGGGCTAGCCAAGCCTTTGTTCTTGCCTGGCTTCAGGTCGAAAATCGCATCGACAATGATGGCGATGACGACGAAGAGGTTCATATCAGGGATTCCTGCAAAATCACTTTAATTATAGGCCCTGTGTCTATTAGAGCTTATTGCAGGGCTTCTAGGGTTCGTCGCCATACCAATCCATACCAGCTATGGTTACGAGAGGTATGCAGGGCGGATGTAGGGTTCTGTGCGCAGCTTTGGGCTGTTTGAAGCGTTTGCCCTCAGAAGTTCTGTGTGCATTGAAAATCAGGAGCTGCCAGAAATTAGGGCCACACAAAATTAAGGATTCTTGTATTTTGCTGGAAAGAGTATAACAAGGGCTTGGATGTGAGATCCTGAATTCTACGCTCAAGTGGCCTTCCTGCTAAACCATATCAATTCAGAAACTTTAATATCTACCTTGGATGTTCCCTCAGAGTCCTGGCCTAATGTTGTTGGCAGATCCTTATTATTGCGTTCCTATGATGATGTGGGTCCTTGTATAGGATTTGTGAGCAGCTTGTATGCGTTTTGACGCCTGCGGCCCTGAACTTGCTGGGTGGTTTAGGTTTCAAGGTGGGTCTGTGTGGGTCAAGTTGGCAAAGAGCTCAGAGGGGCCAGTCAAGCCTTAAAAAACAGACGACCGTCTGAGGCCAATATTTTTTGTCATGCGGAGATGGTTAGCTTATCACTAGGAAAGCTTCATGATGCGGTAGAGGGGCAGACGATCAAAAGCCTCAATTTGACAAGGCACTCGCACCCTTGCTTCGCACAAGACATGCGTGCGAATGAATCCGGGGCAGTTTGAGCACAGGCCATGTACAAGCCTGGGTAGTTAGGACAATTATTGCAATAAACACCTTCGTCTAATTGCATGCACATAAGAATGTACAGGGTCTAAGGAACACAGCCCAAACCCCAGCCCAGTGCATGATGATTTTCTGACCCTCTCTTATCACTTAGATGTTCAAACTGTTCAGAAATAGTTGCCCCTGAAAACAGGTCCTTGTGCTGTAGACTTTGCAGGCACGCTTTAGCGCTGCACAGCCACTGGCGACCACAGGTGGTAACAGGGCCTGAGCCTTACTGAAGTTCTGTGAGATCAAGAATGCGGGGCCAAACGTATTGCCACCCTAAATCATACCCTGAAACCAAACCGTCCCCCGGCAAATTGTTATGGAAGGCAAACAGGCTGCTAGCAAATGTAAGGGCAGCTGAGGATTGGAGTGTTAGGATCATGGTTTAGTGTTTGGCATCGAGAAGCGGGTGTGTCTCAAAGCCAAGTCTCTTTGCATACACCCTCCAAAGACAAAGAGAGACTCCACCGGGCCCCACCGGACAGAGCCATAGTTTTGAGGGAGCCGAGCGTATAGAGGTTAGAGTTAAGTTTCTGCAGCTCTCTGCAAATGACAACAACAGCTAATTCCGGCCAGTCTTTTTGTCGCAGTTGTTTGCAGCTACACCTCGAAGAAGCAGGTGTTGAGATTCACGGCTGGTCCCACCCTGAATTGCCAGCCCGGAATCGCCCACTGATCGATTCCTTTATTTTTGAAGGAGAATCAAAGCATGTTTGCAAACCAGTCAGGCTGCGGAAGAATCCAAGCGATTGCAGCATTCCCTGCACCCGTTGCACCCATGAAGCTTGGTCCAGCCGAGGCCTACAGCAAGCCGCTACCCCAGGTTCCCGAGCGACCCGGGCAGGCAGGTCCAAGCACGGTCTATGCTACTTTGACGTGTAGGAATCAGGTCTAGGACAGCGAGAATTCTACCGCGCAGCAAACTATACACTACATCCCAGGGATCAGATTTTCTGGGCTTTGCCTAAGCCGAGGCAGTGCAAGATGCGGTCAATCCACTGTAGTTCTTGTTGTAGCCTCCTAGCCATGCCCGCTAGCGACTTTGATAGGTTTGGGGGTTGACATGATGGTTTGCATTCTGGGTGATCATGGTGCAAGCGATGCAGGTGGTTTCATCTTATGGTAGTCCCCGGATCTGGGAAGGCCATAGGGGTGACTACAGTGCCTACACCATTTTCAAATTCACATGCAAAGTCCTTCCTACGTCGGCAGCTGTCACAGTTTGGTCGCGTCGCTTCACCCTGAATTATTGTAGGCCGTGCTAGCATGGAGGCCCATCAAAATTCACTTAGGGGTTGTAAGGAGACCCAGATCAGTACAAACATCTTTGCCTCAGGAGCTGGCCAATGTGCAAGACAGCTCAAGCCCCAAGCTTTAGGATCAAGAATTCAGGAGTTCAGGCTTCAGAGTCTAGGTCTGGAGGGTGAGCTCCCCAAATTGTTTCTGGAAGATCGTTAGGGTGGCCTGCTTTGACAATGGTGATTTCTGCAGGTTGTTCCGAGGCTGTATATTCTCGTTCTGAACCGATTGTGTGCAGAGCTGACGGGTCATACGCTGCAGATGTGTTGTATATCATTCTTACATGTTGGAGCTGACGGGTCATACGCTGCAGATGTCTTGTGTATCATTCTTACAAGTTGGAGCTCCGCGTTGCGGATCTTCCTAATCTAAATGGGGGCATAAACATCCGGATTTGGGTGGCGGAGCCCAACAAAACGGTGTGTTTTAGGCTGCCCTCTAGCAACAACACCAATTTTGCTTGATGCCTAGGTTAGGCTAGGCAAGTCTGTTGGATGAACAGGTCGACAAAGTCCGACACTTGGACATATAGCTAAGTGTTTTTTGGGTATCACAAGGATCATTTCAGACCTCCACTTGCGAGGTTAGGGCAGTACTTCAACACAACTTCTTTGATTACCCGATACGTCTGTTCCATGTGCTCCAAACTCACAGAGGCTTTGAGCAAGCACGTTCAGCAGCACAAGGAATCACATGACAATTAGCCATTGGCCAGAATCAGTCAGCAGACGTCATTTTGGTCCTCTTGGTGGCCATCGAATGAAGGCAGCATACCGCTAAAGTCGAAACCTTTCATTGTGTGCGACCAGAAAGTTGTTGGAAAGGCGATATGGTATTTTGACAACAGCAATATAATTTATGGCTGGCTTACCCCTACTTCACACAACATCGATTGCCGGGGCCAAGCAATCCTTGTATAGTCGGTTAAATTCTGGCATAATTGTCATGAACCTGCAACTCAGGAAGTGGCCGAAAAGGCATGATATCGGAAATGAAGAGGATCAATGCGCAGGGCTCAGTTTGATGGTGAGTTCTAGACATTGAAAGTGCTGGTAGCAACAGCAGCAGCAGCCACCTCAAGAAACGCAACGCTTGAAACATCTCTGCCCCGAAGGCGCTGAATTTGGAACCGACCTCTGCGAAGCATGATGACACGGCTGCCCGCGGCGGAAGGAACCAAGCACTGCTTCCGTGATTCGGGGATAATTGAGCGTACAATCGCGCAGTTGAAATACTCAGTGCTTTAGAGTGTGGTTGAGATGTTTATTTTGTTTCGAGTGCCTTGTAAGCCTTGTTTACGAGTTTTGACTTTGTGCTGCAGCATCCTTTGCATTTTTTTCCGCCAGGATCCCTGTGGAGACCTTTCCCAGTAAGCTGCACTTTGTGATATGGGCCGTGCAAAATTTGGGAGCAGCACAACCCACATGCTCTGATAACCTGTCTAGGGACCACCATAGATTCTCAAAAGCTTAAGCCCTCAACCCTTCACCCCCAACATGTCTAATTCCTACAGCCCTAAACTCTAACTTCAATGTTGCAATTTTTGGGCTTCTGGGTTGTGAGGTTGGGCGCAAGTTGCCCTGGTACCCCGGATACCTGGTCTCAGTATGGAAACAGGGAATGGGACATTCTCAGGGAGAGTACTGCAGGCTGGTGTAGTGAATGCCGGAAAGCCTGTTGGGAAATTTGTTCTCCTTCCTTGGTCATTTTCAGGCAGTTATGGGGTCTTGCTGGCAAGCTTCGGGTTCGACACAGCTTGGCCCATACAAGGCTGACTCTCCCCGAACCCTATGAGCTTTTTCTTGCCAAAGCTGAACCCCCCTATGACAATTCCAAGGCCTCAACTCTGATCTTGTGGCTTCAAGTCGATGGAGGCTTCAATCTCCCAGACCCCATATTCATTCAACAGATCCAGTAGCCCAACCTCAGATTGCTACCCAGTACCCTGGGCCCCACATCCTGGGTAGTAGCCCTGGATGGAAGGAGCCTCAAAGACCCGGCCGCCCGCAACCCGCAGCGGATCGCGGTGCTTTAGCCCAGAGGGGAGTTTGAATTTGCGGCTGCTTCTTTAAGGCTATCGGAGTCATGCGGTGGTAGAGCTTCATTCAGGTCCTCCGTCATTGTACGTAGACAGTTTTAGAGATGATGATGAGTGTGGACATGAAGGCATCACTTTTTGGGGTTGAACTGGTACTAAGCAAGCTTTTGGAAGGGTCATTGTGAATAATGTAGGGATCATGGAGATCTTTTGTGACAAAGCAGAAGACTGCGTACTGGGACCTTGGTTTGATATCATTTCTGATGTCATTGAAGGCTGCGTACTTTTTTTGTTGCGAGGTTGCAGGGGCATTGGAGAGGCATGTAGAAGAACTGCGGGACGTGTTAGTCCAGTTCCGGATTCATGAAAGAAGCACTGGTCCTTTTCCAACGCTGCACTAGGGATTCTGTCATTCGGGTTTCAGGTTATGTTGTAGTACTTCTCTCCTTCTACTTTGCTATGCTGGATTGTAGAGGGTTCTGGAAACTTTCTAAGCCAATGGCAGGGTTCCAACCATGGCTAGGCGGACTCGAGGCTTTCCCTACAATGCCTTCGTGAAAGTTCATTACTAGAAACACGTGTCTTTTCAGATTTTGGCTGCCGTTTGTGTGACGTGAAACAAAGGTATACAAGCTGGCTGTTGAGATTCGGGTTCAAACATGGTATGCTAAGGGTGGGCATCGGGTTCCTGAGAGCAATAGATTGCAATCCTCAAAATGTGGTCACAGCTCATAGTATAAGTGGGACTGAAGCAGAGACTATATAGAAGCCAGAAGATGGACAAGTCACGTCTCCTTCTTGGTCATAAGCCGGGTGCGCTTGCCTTGAGATTTGCACCAGGCGTTCAATCCCTCATAGTGTGCATCCACATGGGTGTCGACTCTTGATTTGTTTGCTTGCCTGTCTTGGATGCAATCCTACTGTTTTGTGGGCATTTCCCGGCATCAGGGTCCGAGTGTGTATTCTAACCGGAAAAAATTCTCCATACCTCTAGCTAGATGAGAGGGTCACTCACACTCGAAGGCCTGAATCATGAAGCATGTTGTTCTTCTGAATGCGTAGGAGGTAGAGCTTCATGGGACGGGGCCTTCATTACCAGATCTTAAAGTTGTTGGGGATGGCTTCTGCCCCTCAATCCCCAATTCAACATGGGCCTAGATTTCCTCAGCCATCAGAACCTTTTAACATCCAACCCAGCTTCCTTTTCTGCCAAGGGGAACAGTCAGGATCTGAAGTCAGAATTTCAACAGCGTGGAGCTTGGGCAAAGAAGAGGGTGCAGAAATACATGGCAAAGAGGTTTTGGTAAGAATGAGGTCGAGCATCGGTTTGGTTCCAAGCAGAAACGCCGCATAGAAGCATGGTGCTTCATTCTGCTAAGTGTTCTGGCTGATGTGGCGGAACTTCGTTTTAAACGATGCTAGCAGCGCAGGAGTATGAAACATCAGTTGCATCTCATCGTGTGGCAAGGAAACTGCAAGCTTCCCAGGTGAGCGTCATTATTTCCATGCGATGAGCCAGGTCAGCGAAGTGCTGATACATCTGGATCCATTACGATCTCGTAGCTCTAGAGAAGAACCTACACCTCAAACCCGGAACACTTGAGTTATGTCTGTCCCCTGCAGGGCTTCAGCTCGCTGCAAGCCCGTTGCATCTCCACCGCAACTTTCACAATCCTTGCACCACCCTTCTGCAGTTCCCTCAGCCTTATCAAGACAACTCTGTAATTTACAATTATCCCCCAACTTGACAGGACAGAGCGAACATCCTTCAAGTTCTTTCTGGGGATGTGCGAGTGCATGCATTTTGGGTCTTTGAGACCTAAGGCGTAAGCAGAATGATCTTCTTGTCATTTCAAGACACTCTACATGAACAACAAATTTCCTAC